GTATTAGGCTTGTAATTCCGTTGGAACAAGGTGCTCCTTGATAGGAAATCCACTCCACCAATGCAGCGCCATTCCTTCTGTGCAACTTGGAGTCTTACAGAGCTGTCTAGAGCTCTTAGAAGTTAATGGCTTGCAGGGGCAGCTAGGTGGCACAGTGGATAGAGCACCAGTCCTGGAGTCAGGAGGACCTGAGTTCAAATCCGGCCTCAGACACATAATACTCACTAGCTGTGTGACCCTGGGCAAGTCACTTAACCCCAACTGCTTCACCAAAAAAAGAAAAAAAGTTAATGACTTGCCCAGGGACACACAGCTAGCATGCATGAATCAGAAGTGGGACTTGAGCCCACATCTTCCTTATTCAGGACACCATGGTGTCTCTATATTGAAACATAAGTACAGATACATATCCCAAAGACAAATATAGGTTCATTTTACATATGAGGAAGCTGAGGGCTAATAAAGTAACCTGCCCAGTGTTGAAAAGCTCTTATCAGAGGCCCCTGTCATTTGACTGTGGAGACAATGTTCTTCCTGTTATTCTATGCTGCTCTGAAACCATATTTTTGGACTTTATAATGATTTATCATGTTACTTCACATAACTCCACTAGTTAAATTAAAGTAAAGATTTTCCTGGGCTTTCTTTCTCTTTACAGACCCTTTATGCAATGCAAAACGGTTCCCAACACATTGTAGAAGTACTTGGGGACATTACTTTTGTTACAAGTGTGTCAGAGCTCATGATGGAAAAATATATTTTTTCTTGACATTAAACATGGCAAGTTTTCCAAGTTAAAAATCTACCACTCTTCTTGACCAGAACCTGAGTTTTTTTAATTAACTAAGTGTTTACTTTATATAGCAAAATAAAATGTTGTCTTATACTTACACTGCTAAGAATTTTCACATATTGTATGATCTCTTTTGAAGGGAAGGAGAAGAGAATACATATTTATATAACACCTACTAGGTGTCAAGCATTGCACTAAGCACTTTAAACATTTGATCTCAGTTGATCCTCACAACCATCCCAGGAGGTAGGTGCTATTATTATCCCCATTTTATGGGTGAGGAAAATGAGGCAAACAGGGTAAGTGCCTAGCTGAGGTTCACAAGAAGGGCAGCTAAGTGGCACAATGGATAGAGCTCGAGGTCTGAAATCAGGAAGACTCATCTTGCTCTGTTCAAAACTAACTTCAAACACTTATTAGCTGTGTGACCCCGGACAAGTCACTTAACCCTGTTTGCCTCAGTTTCCTCATCTGTAAAATGAGCTGGAGAAGGAAATGGCAAACCACTCCAGTATCTCTGCCAAGAAAACCCCAAATGGAGTCACAGAGAGTCAGACACAACAGAAAAATGACTCAACAAGATGGCCACGTAGATAGTAAGCATCTGAAGCTGGATTTGAACTTGTCTTTCTGACTCCAGGCCCAATGCTCTGGCCATTGCACCACCTCATTTGCCGTTTGACACTTATGAGAGCTTAGCAGGGAACTGAGGCAGGAGTGGTGGATAAAGGGAAAATAAGTACATAAAATCCTCTCCAGCTGCCTCAATTTCCAGCAGAGCAAGTGTCCATATCTTGAAAACCAGCCTTTGCTCCAGCTCATTTGTCTTGAATTTGCCTCCCTCCCTTTCTTACCTGGTGCCTTTGATTGACTTCCCAGGGCTTGCTGGACCTTGTGTCAGATCATGGCGTCTTCCTCCTCTCTGTCCTGTTATTTTCGTCACTTGGTTCCATTCAGCTGCCCACACATTCTTGCTCTCTGTGAACAGTGTTGACCTGGCCTGCCTCAGGACGAGCTTCCCACAATTTGTCCCAATGGCTTTTGAAGCAGGATTCCTATCACACTAGACATTCACTGAGGAGCAAAATCTAAGATCTCGGGTCTTGGTTATGCCATTTATTACCTCTGTGATCTTCAACAAATTAAGATAAGTTTCCTCATATGTAAAATGAGACAATTCAACCAGTTGAATTTTAGGGTCCTTTTCACCTCTGACTCTATAATCCTTTTGTAATCAGAACTCAGTTAATTACCCTTCTGCTTTCCCTCTCCATTGGAGTAGAAGACCTGAGTAAATATCTTAACACTAATGCTTAACGGTATACCCCAGTAACCTTACTTACACAAGTAAATTAACCTCTCAGAGACTCAATTTCCTTATCTCTAAGATAAGAATAGGGTCAGGGATTCTGATTTCATTGGTATAGGGAATCTCCCACTTCCAATGCAGGTCCCCATTTTCTCTACAACTTATAGCCTTATAGGGTTATCTAGAGCACTCAGTGTAGAAATGACTTGCCCAAGGTCACACAACCAATACCTGTCAAATACAAGGGTTGAACATGGGTCTTCTTGGCTTCAGGGCTAATTCTCTACCTGCTCTCTATGCCACATTACCTCTTCCTCTTTGGATAACCTAGAGAAAAATGAAGCATCAGTGCAAAAGGGTCTTTGTGGTGCTAGCTGGAGCTAATAGCATTGAAAGACTGAATAAGTTGTGGGTCAAATGCAAGAGAATCAACTCTTATGGAGATGTAACTTGGCATCTGCACCCATGAGTGCTTTATCCTCTGAATCCTTAGCAGTCACAGCTACTGAAGACCTGAAAAAGAGAGTCCTTGGCACTGTGAGTTCAACAGATTTCATTGGATCAATGGAAATTCCATTAACAAAGATACATTGCCATCTGCTTTGCTGCTACAGGAGCAAAGGATTATGGGTTTTCCCATTTTAATTGAAGCAAAAACTTCCTGTATATGTTATCTCTTCCTTTTTAGAATGTGAGTCACTTCAGAGCACAAACTATCTAGCTCTTCTATATGTATCTTCAGCACATAGCACAGTATTTAGCATGTAGTAAGTGCTTAATAATTTTCTGTCTCCTTTCCCTCTCTTTATAGCTCTTTGTCTATCTCTCTTTATCTCTCCATTGCTCTTTCTTTAAAACTCTGTTTCTATTTCTCTTTATCTGTCTTCATCTCTCTTCTCTCTCAATCTTTCTTATCTCTCTCATTTTTTTCTCTCATTTTCTTTTTTCTCTTCTCTCTTAATTTATCCTAAGACTCTTTCCATAACATGGTTCTAGACACCATTATTAGGTGGAAGAAATAAGCACACTAAGTTGAAATGACTTCCTAAAAACTACAAAGTCTGTAGTAGAGACATGATTTCAACCTGGGACTTTGTACTCCTGGTCCCATCCTGTTTGTTATGAGAGATGTTAGCAAAAGACCTCCCAGCATAGTGTGACTGAATCCAAAAAGGCACTGTGCTCTATGGGTAAATCAGAATTGCAGTAGCTGGAAAGAAATGTGAGACGTGCAAATTTAGAAACATCTGCACTCCAAAGGTTCATATGGACTATCTGTGCCCAATCTGTGGCAGAACCTTCAGAGCCCATATTGATCAGCCATAGTTGGACACACCATACCTTGACTCCAACCTACTGATGTCATTTTGGTCTTCTTCAAGAATGAAGGACAAGGGGATAGCTAGGTGGCGCAGTGGATAGAGCACTGGCCCTGAAGTCAGGAGGACCTGAGTTCAAATCCAGCCTCAGACCAAACACTTGACACTCACTAGTTGTGTGACCCTGGGCAAGTCACTTAACCCCAATTGCCTTAAAAAAAAGAATGAAGGACAAGAATCAACCAATGAACCAACCAATATGTCATAGAGGAAGTTACCTAGGTGTAGCTACATGTGCCAACTCTATTTGATTCTATGCATGCACAAAAGATGGTTCTTTCTTCCTTAGCCAGGATACTGGGTATCCTTATCAATTTACCACCCCGTGTTCCCTGCTACAAAGTGTGGCTCTTCCCTTTGTGGATACAATCTCCAGGTCACTGTGAAATGTTCTATTCCTATATCACAAATATGGCAATTGACAGAATAGCATAAAACAGAAGGCCCTGGCACAGAAGTGGTCATCCTGAGGCCATTTCCCAGAACGCCAGCTCAACAAAATTAGGGGGGTGAGGCGGGAGGTGTAGAGGATTGGGGCTAGATATCTTGGCCAAATTGGGATGCTGTGTCATTCTTGTGTCTTTCATCATAATAAAACTCTGTTTCCTTAATTGAGCTTTATCCAATTGGCAGTAAGTACCTATTATGTACAACATACTAGGTACTGAGACAGATACCTCCCAAGAAAGTCCCTATCCTCAAATAGCTAACATTCTCCTTTAACAGTTAAAATCCTCCTTCAGAAAACTGCAATATCATTTCCTTTTAGAAATTATTATGGTACTTTGAGCAGAATGGTAATAAACTTTGCTCAAGGAATACATAACAGCTACAGGAACTCAAAAGAACATGTAAGTATTTGTGGTAATATTAAATTCTGACCCTACAAAGAGGAAAAATGTATAAATAGATAAGGCTATGCATGCTAATTTAAGGATGCAAAGAGATCAGGAAAGGCTTGCTGTAGGAGGCAGCTGAGCCTTGAAGTAAAATAAAGATTCTAAGAAGCAAAACTGAGGAACAGTGGGGAGAGAGGGGCATTCCAGTATTGGGAAACATCCTATTCAGAGACGTGGAAGGTGGAGGGGGAATATCAAATCTGGTGAAAAATAGATAGAACAGTTTAGTTGGATCACAGATAATATGAAGTGGAGCAATATATGTCATCAGTTTGGCAAGACAGGCTGGAACCAAATTGTAAAGGGCTTTAAATGTCAAACAGAAGATTTTGCATTTTATCCCGGGGCAACAGGTAATAACTGAAGGTTTTTGAGTGGGAGAAAGATACGGTCAGATTTGTGCTTAAGGAAGGCAATTCTGTGTGGAAATGGATCAGAGAGGAAAGAAACTGGGAGTCAGGGATCTAAGCTAGGTGCTTTCAGTAGATCAATACACTTTTCTCAATGAGGCATGCTAAAATGAAAGTATGTCTCACATGGCTGCAACAGACAAAAAGTTTGCAACAAGGTGTATTTGTTATCAATGCTTTATTGTTGAAAACAAAATTGAATTTCTCTTCTCTGGCACATAAAACAATTATTTCTACAAAAGGAAAGCCTACAAATCTTGATAATTTATACAAATAACAGTTTCTCAAAAAATAAAATTTTAATTTAGTAAACTTGTCTTGTGCTCTTTATTTATTTATTTTTAGCACTGTCTGCAATAATCCACCATAAATCCCTGAGCAGAGACACATATTTGTTGATCATGTTTTAACTTCTTTCCCCCCAAAGTTGGTTAGTTATCGAGCCCAGCCCTGTAACTAGAAAGCATCAGGGACATTCTTCAACATCCTCACATCTTTTGACACAGATCCAGTCCACAATGCTACTTAGATGCTACGTCAACTTGGAGTGACTCTAGCGGGTGATCAATGGACATTCTTAAAAACCAACAATTTGAAAAGAAGAACAAAAAAAAGACAGTGAAGGGTTATGACCAGGAAGCCACCAAAGTTCAATAGCCATTTTAAATAAATACCACAGTTAAACATTGAATTCATTCATATCTTTATATTAAATTCACTTTTTTTTTAAAAAAAAATTGCCATGAAGCAGTGGCAGAAGAAAAATATATTTCCACCCACCATCTTAGTTTTACCTCGGGTTTCCATGCCTCATTAAGACAACACTGTGATTTGACAGTCATTCATTTTTTGACCATTTTATCTCAATATTCTTCAGGATTATTCACATACTTTCTTTGAAAGGGCCCTCATAGTAACCCTATTCAGAAAATGCTCATACAATTTGGCCTTACCAAGCTTAAGAAAAAATAATGCCATAAGAAGAGTACATTAAAATGATTTATCTTACTGTGCTCTCCTACCTAGTCAAAAACAAAAAAAGAAAAGAAATTTAAAAAAAAAATATGGTGTTTGGAGACAATGTACAACAAGTTATACGGATGTCCCATTTCCCTTTTAGTAATCATGTAAAAATGAAATGTGAAAGATAAAGCAAAGGACAAAAAAAAAACCTAATCTAATTTGCAGAGAACTGGCTTAACAAAAGTTTTTATTGTTTCATTTTGTTTTCACTCTGATCAAATAATAAATAAATAAATACATATAGCATTGTACAGGTACTTTCTCCAAGAAGTAGTTGTAATGGGATGATGTTTTACCAAGTTGAGTTTTAGTATCAGAGTAGAAATGTGACTTGTGGGGAGCATCTGTCAATGATCTCCCACACTTCACATTAAAAGCCAAAGCTCTTCTGGAGTGAGCACCAAAGTAGCCACTGACAGGTAATTAAAGGAAATGGCAAATTTGCTCACAAAAGATGGTGCTTCTGAACGAAGGAGAGTGTTTGGCAAATGACCTAGAAAAATATGGGCTATGGCTCCACAACACTGCAGCTCCAAATAAATTACTTTTATGAAGTCATTCAGGAAGAATATAATAACAACTTGGTAGGATAAATCCAAGCTACAAAGATGCAACAGCATAGCTGTTGGTCATATAGTCGAGAACGAAACAGCTATTAGACCCCACTGTCCCAAATGCTATGCAACTGGGAACTCTCATTACTCAAGCCTCTTGGTCTAATCATTTTTTAAAAAGGAACCTCTTCCGGGAGGGACTAAACACATTCCTTAGCGCCCCGCCCCCCCCAATAACTGCTGGTTAGTTTATGATTAGAATACTTGTAAATTTTGCTATCACTAAGTTGTTGTTTCAGGCTGAATTCTGAATGGGTAGTTTTGTTTTTTTTTTTACTTTTTATTGTATTTCTTCTGGGGAAAAGTTTTGAAAATTAAGAATAATAATTTTTAGAAAGTATAACAATCCCATTACACTGCCTGATCTAAAATATTTTTTGGGGAAAAAAAAGTTGGTGATAATTTGTTTACCATTGAAATAAAAAAAATGCATGACATGTGATGTCTTTCGCCCTGTTACAACCTCAGGGGGATGCATGATTAGCTATATATTGCTTATTGTTTCTAGGACAGGCAAAGCAAGCACTGCTCAGAATAGTGAAGCTAGTGACATCAAAATAATAAAAAAATATGATGTACACTTGTCAAGAAGGAACTGCAAGAGTCTGACAGATCCTAACATATCAAAAAATAGTTCCGTAAGCCTCTGAAATTGATAAGCAGCCTGCCCTAAGGAGAGACACAGCAGCAATAGAACTGACTGCAAATAGGTTAGGATTTCATCTCAATTTTCATCAGTTACAGTCTCTACAAATACCTCAGGTTACTATCTTAACCATGTTTGTCTTCCTGTGGATGGATGGGTGCTGTGACGTCCTCTCACAGTGCTGAAGAAACAAGCTCATTTTCAGAATTTGAATAGAAAACCAGCAAAATTCGAACTCAGATTCCTATTTTTTTGAGACCAAAATATTCGGCTTTAAGCGCTCTGATTGAATTTGTTTTTGATGGATGACGGTTAAATCCTTCATGAGGTTCCCACCATTTCCCTTTTTGGCATAAATTCGGTGCCAAAGGCAAGACTAGATCTTCCCTGAAGCCATGATGACCACTGCCCTTGAGCATGAGGTCCATTGGGAGTTCCTGTCACACCACCTCCTGGAAGTCCTGTTCCGTTTTTTGTTTTTTGTTTTTTTCCTTAAGTAGACTTAGAATCAAAAAGAGAAAACGTTCCTAGCCTCCTGGGTCATGTCTTAGAAGTCTTTAATCCCTGTTTTTCCATGATGTTCCACAGTTTTCGGAGGTTAGACCGGGTGATGACATCATCAGGTTTCAGCTGAAGGGCCCGCAGGTAGTTGGCCTCAGCTTTGAGAAGCCTGCCATTGAGATGAAGAATGGCTCCAAGATTCATCAGGGCAGCCGGATACTGAAATGGGAGAAAGGAAGGGAAACAATTAAGGGGGCATTTCAAGTTTCCCTTCTCTGAAGACAAAAACTCCAGTCACTTACGCAAATTATTCCCTTATGTCTTGGAGGCATTTCATAGAAGCAATTTTACAATTTATACAACTAGACCAAGATAACCAGAAGAAAAGTTTTCAACAAGCCACTGTGTGCTTCATGCCTTAAATGGGACAGGAGCCTGGAGAAAGAGCACTTATTGTTTTTGTGTTGTTTTTTTTTCCCTCTAATGGGGACACACAGACAATACATGAAGACTTTATATGTGGTAATCTAGTCAGACTATACGTTCCTTGGGGAGAAAAGTTAAAAGTGATACGATTTCAAGTGGAAAGAATTGAATTTTATTTAAATCCAGTGCCAAGAGTTTTGAAAATATGTGGGGGAAAAACTGACACATCAGTGTCTTTCTATCCTGTTTCCTACCTGCACCCATTCTTCCCATCCCACAAAAATGGAAAGACAATGCAATAAGGTTATAATCATGTTTTCCTAGGAGGGGAAGAGAAAAAAAAAACTAGGAAATTCAGCTGGAGCTATCAAATGTTCCAGACAAAGGGCCTATCTTTGTCAAAGGTCAACCATGCTGTTTAGTGAGAACTTTTGATCTCTTTCTACCTTTAATGCTTAAAGGTCCTGCTGGAGAGAAAAAGGTCAGAAATAATGGAATTGAGACAGGGGCTTGACCTGGGATTTCATTAATATGGAGAATTCCAGGATATGGATATGCCCTCTACTAGTTCAGCATCTCCTCTGAAACCTAGCGCTTTAGAGAAATGCCTAGGACAAATCACTTTTCCATGGTCGCACAGTTACTACATATAAAAAGTATGATTTGAATTCAGGTCCTCCAGGCTCTTTGAAAGGAGCTCTCTATCTACCATACCACGAAATCAGCAATAAATAAAACACACAAAGCTCTAGCTTTGTGAGAAACAATTGTTATATATAGGTTTCCTAACCCACATTATGGTACTCACTTATATTTCATAAATAATAGTAACTAACATTTTTATAACACTATGCCAGGCACTATGCTAAGTACTTTACTATTATCTCATTTGATCCTCACAATAACCCTGGAAGGTAGGTGCTATTATTGAGCCTATTTTACAGGTGAAGAAACTGAGGCAAACAGATTACATGCCTTGGCTGGGGTCACACAGCTGGTAATTGTCTGAGGCTGGATTTGAACTCAGGTCTTCCTGACTCCAAGTCCAGTGCTCTGTCCACTGTACTGAAGACCAATCGCAGAAATCAGGACTGAGATTTTAAAATGTAGGATCAAAAAAGATTAAAAAAAAAAAAGCTAGCTTCAGTTGTGGCTTACAATACTACTGAGAAAGTTTGTTCCTCTAATTGCTTAAAACATGACCAAAACAACCAACCAATCAACCAACCAAAATGAAATAAAATGCTGCTTAAAGGAAAAAAGGAAAAAAAAAAAAACTGCGGTGTCTGAAAGCTGTTCCTTCCCCTCTCTGTCCTCTCCTCATTTCCCAGTACATCTTGCATGGCTACATAGCAAGCAAAAAATCTGACAGTCTCATAATTACACATTTCAAATTGCAGTTAAAACAACAACTGCTCCCTTCTAGAGAGCAAAATCAGGTTTCCAGGTAACAAACTGTGGATTGAATGCTAACACCTTAAAAAAATTGTCCTCGTTATCATTTTAAACTTGAAGCACATCCAGGACTTTTACTGTGATTCATTCAAACACACACACACACACACACACACACACACTTTTCAGCTACAACTTAACACCATTATTTCTGCTTAACAAATGAGGAAACCAAGGCAGATTCATGGGATGATCCAGTAGGATAAAGGCAGACTTGTTATTAGATGTTGCCATTTGTCTCCAAGGTCAGTTTCTCTTCATTTTCCCATGCTGACTTTTCATACATGTTAGAAAATTTTTCAAAAGGCATAAAAATAAAAAGGTTTTTTTTTCTACCCCACTTTTTTTTTTTATTAACCAGAACAGGCTGCTTGCCAAGCATCTGGTTGACATTGTTACATGACAAGGGACTATAAAGCAATAAGGCTCTTCTTTTTTTTGTTTTTTGGTATAACTTGTATATCCCAATGAATGCTGTCCTCCAAACAGTCATACTGGGCCATCTCTTCACTTATTTCAATAATGTTTTACTGCTTAAAACATGATCAGAGTAATTCTTTTGAATTTGCCATCAAGGGGATGTTATGATATCCACAGGAAGAAGTCAGTTTTGTTCTTTTAAACCAAAATGGTATTATTCAGATTGACTCCAAAAAATTCTTACACATTTCCCAAAATCAAACCTACCCTAAGAGAATGGGGACCTGTCACCAAGGAGGAATTTTGAAAAACAAAAATAGAACAATAAAGAGACATAAGGTCTAAAAGTAATTTCATGAGAATTCTCTAGAATTTTGTGAAATGACAGCAAGTTATATATATATATATATATATGTATATATATATATATAAATAAAATGTATAGTCTACAATGAGACACTTTGGGACAATGTTGATTTCACAGCATGTTCATGGGGGGGGTGGGGAGGGACAGAACAATACAATCATCCCATTATTTTATCATCATACTTCAGTGGAGAGGGGGAAGGAATAAGCATTTATTAAGCACCTACTATGTGTCAGGCACTATATTAAGTGGTTAATAAATATTGTCTCATTTGATCCTGACAACAATCTTGGGAGGTAGGTACTATTACTATCCCATTTGAGAAAACTGAGAAAGACAGAGGTTATGTGACTTACCCGGAGTCATACAGTTAGTAAGTGTCAGAGGTGACCTAAGACCAGGTGAAGTATTCTACTCACTTCGCCACTTCCCTAGCTGTTGTTGGTTGTAAAAAATGCTGTAAAGACTCTAGCTTTTGTTTTTCCTAGTTACCTGCATACGTATCCTATCTCTATAGGTTGATTACAAAATCTTGAAGTTCAAGGTACATCACACAAGAATATTTAGCATAGTAATATGGTACTGTAGGAGCCCAAAAGCCTGGGGTTCCAATGAAGTCTTCAGTTACAGATGTGCTCAGCAGCAAAGAAAAGATTTTTATGACTTCAAGAAGTCTTTTCATCTCGTTTTGTGGGGTTTTTCTAAACAAAGATAAAGATTTGCAAACTAAACCAAATTAAATACCTTTATTAATAAAGCAGTGTAATCCAACATAAAAATCAGGGAATTTAGAATCAGAGGGCCCAGGATCAAATCCTAGGGAACCCATTTCCCTTCCTGGAGACTTGGAGTGCTCATCTACAAAGAGAGAGAAAGAGAGAGAGAGACACAGAGAGAGAGAGAGACAGAGAGATAGAGACACAGAGACACAGAAAGACAGAGAGACAGAGACAGAGAGAGAAACAGAGACAGAGAGAGACAGAGACATACAGAGAGACAGAGAGAGAGAGGAGGGGTTTGGATAATATGAACTCTAAGGTCCCTCCCAGCTCTAAATCAACAACCCTATGATTCTATATTCTCCCCAGCCAATGCAAAAATAAAAGCAAGTTTTCTTTCAACTATGAAATTATTTCAGTTAATGATTTTTTTTTTTACTATCAAGAAGCTAGAAGCAATAGTATGAGAAGGATGAAGATGTAAGCAAAGTTTTCATATGAGCAAATAAGCAGCTGTGGCTGATCAAAACAAAAGGCCACCTACCCTAGCTTGATAACCCAAATGCAAGGACTTCAGGTGACTGCATGCCTGATTAAACATTGGCGTCAACACTCTCCGCCATCTGTAACTCACAGGCCAGAAAAACAGCCAGCCAGCCCTAATCACTGATGTTTTCCCTTACACACTTTGTCTTTTATTGAAGACAGCTGATGAAACTTTTCAGCACATTAACAAAGGCAGTCAGCAGCTCCAACATAGGGCTCGTAGCTCTGCACAACAAATGACACCACCTACTTCTTCACAAGCTCCAAAGGAGAAACAGATCTTCCCTCATTTCCTTAAAGAGGACAGATGCTTTATATCAAATAGTCTGACTGGCAGCTCTATTGAGGCAGCAAATGACGTCTTTCAGAGTCTATGGGGAATTCAGCCCCTATTGTGATATTCTTATGGTCTTTTGAGGATTCGTTAGCTCCAGGGAGAAAGGAGCAGAATTAAAATCATATGTTTGGCCAAAGTCCAATATCAGTGGAGATTGTTTTTCTTCCTCTACAAGGGGTAGCTCCCCTACCCCCAATTCTGGCCAAATGCAGCACCTCGGTAGCAAGGGAAGAACGGTGTCAGGGAATGAAAGCAATTATGATGGAAGAGGTGGATAGACAAAGGTGGATTCATTCAACAAGCATTTATAAATACCTTCAGTATGGTCAGCATTTAGAATACAAACAAAAAAGCAAACAAACAAAGACAGCCTCATTCCTCAAGGAGTTTGAAATCTATTGCAGATTTCAAAATGGTTGAATGAGTTGCCCAAAGAATGTGCATGACTAGATACAGGTATCAGGGAAATTGAGAGATGTCAATGACCTCAATGGCCATCTAGCCTTATCCAGGCATGAAAGAAGTTTGGATTCAGTCAAAGGGCCACACTTGAGGACCTAGAGGGCCACATGTGGCCTCAAGACTGCAGGTTTCTCACCCCTGATAGACAGATAGATAATCTTTCAACTCTATTCCCTACATTCCCAAATTCCCAATTGATATCTGTACCAGAATTCTTCATAGTACTTTATCCCCACCATGCTCCAAACTATACTCTTTAGCTTTCTTTGAAATCCTGCCCCTCCTCCCACCTTCCCTATTTCTGTTGAGGTCAGTACTATGTTCTCAGTCAACAAGACTCAATTTCTAATTCCTCATTTATTTTTTTCCCTTTTCTTCATCTCTCATATCTAATTAGTTGCCAAGTCCTGTTGAATCTATTTTCACAATACCTCTAGAATCTATTTCTTCATCTCTACCTATGCTTTTATCCCCTGAGTTTAAACCC